TATAGAAGCATTGGTGCCAAACAAAATCCATAAAACACTCATTTCAACATGCTGCTCTTTAGTGAAAGAATCCAGAGCTGGTGGGCAGTCAAACTCACATCCACATATCCATGGATGCTGAGAAGGCAGGAAAAATGATTGCCACTCAAATGTATCTTTCTTGATAGTAAGACATTGTACAAATCAACACTTAAAACAGTAGACCTTTTTTACCCCCCACACAATAAATTTCTTTATAAGAGCAATATATCACAGGCAGTGTAGAAATTTTTGATCAAGGGTTGAGGACGTGGCTCAGTGGATAAGAACATCTGCTCTACAAGCATGTGGTCCTGAGTGTGGCTCCCTGTCACTCATGCAAAAGGACAGGCATGACAATGCATGCCTGCAAAGCCCAGCATTTGTGGGGTAAATGCAGGCAGACCCTGCCTAGCTTAAAGAGCAAGCATTTTGAGAGAACCTATCTCAAAGCAATAAGGCAACATTAAGAGAGGAGCTCTGTTCTCTGTACACATGCACAGGCACACAGTCTCAACACACACACACACACACACACACACACACACACACACACACACACACACATTTAGATAAACTCACGGGTTATATACGTTTAAAAGCAGTTTTATAAGCCTCTCTTTTCTTCACACTGCCTTGAACATTTTTACTAAAAAGAAGAGCTGAGAGATGCCACCCAGCTATGCTGTCAGCTGCTAGGGACAGACTTTAAAACCACACCCCCATAAGCACACTAGGAACTGCTTTTCCAAATATACTTATCTGACTTTAATCTTACTTTTGTCTTCGCACTCAGACTGTCCTTTAAGTTGGTCCCATAGTGCCCTTACCATTAGCCATGGCCTATCATCTACACACATCTACAACGTGTTAAACATGACCATATCCAAACTACTTCCTGGAGGATTCTATTTGTCACTCACAAGTGCCTATTGATCCTACCTGCTTGGTTCCCATTCCTAACAAAATGCTGTAAATAAGAAAGAAACCAGAGGACATGTTAATTAATAACGTTCTCTGAAAGATTTTAAAAACATGCTTTCTGTAATATTTTTGTGACAACCCTATTTTCCTCCTCAACCCCTAGTATTAATCCCCCATTTTCCAAAATAGGCCATTATTTGTTATCATCTGTTTGCTCTTAATACTTCTGTCCCAATTACACACAGGACATAGTCTGATGTGATGGCCCAAGGGCATTTCCTGAAGCCTGTTTCCTAACTGGAGTCCTGCAGGAGGACACCAGCTAATCCCCCACTTGTGCTCTGAAGAGCTGTCTTAGGAACCAAGTCTCTCACACACACTTGGGTGAAAGTCATCCGGCCTTGGTGATTGACCTGTAACTAGCCTGTTGGTCAGGCCTGGAGTCCTCTGAGAACATGGCACTTCTTTGATGGGGGTTGTCCTCTGTATATATGTTTCTCTCATTGGTTGATGAATAAAACACTGTGGCCAATAGAGGTAGGGAGATAGGTAGGACTAGGATAATTCTGGGAAAGATAGGCAAAGTGAGCCAGCCAGAGTTGCGATGCTCCCAAAGGAATAACAGCATACCAGGCATTATGGGGTACACCACAGCCTCATGGCAATAAATAGATTGATAGAAAGGGGTTAATAATTAAGACTCAAGGGCAGCGGGACCTAGGACCTGCCTGGCCAAGAAAACTCTCTATAACACTTCTTGATCTATTACCTCCAGTGTGTGAACTGCTTGAGGGAGCCCGAGTGCTGGACTCTTACTCAGCAGAAACAGAAGCATCCACTTACACTCTGCATTATCTCTCTTGACTTCTGAGTGTATGTTTGTGTTTCAAAACGGTATCAGACATCTATCCCAATGACCCCTTTCAAACTCATTTCTTATTATTTCATGTCAATTTTACATAGGATATATCAACCTTCGTGAGGGTTATAATAATAACTTGATAGTCCTTCAAATAGTCCCTGTCATTCCATGTACTTAGGCGCAATCTTCTTTACTTTTCCCCTACGTATTCAGTGTTTTAAAGCACTTGAGTCTAAGACCTTTACTTTTCTTACTATACTTGGGTACCAATAAGGCAATTTATATACCCATCAATTTCTTATGTTTTATTTGATTTTCAAATATTTCCTTAATTTTCCCCACCATGTCAGCACTGAATTCCTTTTTTTATAATGATTATATATTTGGCCTCTTTCTTTGGCATGCCCTCTCCCATGCTGAACTAAAACCACTCTATATTACATACTATCATCTGTTTTATACGGTAGTCACGAAGTGAACAGTTCCTGAATGAAGGGATGGTACCAACACCTACCAGTCACGGGGCATTCCTAGGTACCACAACCCATGCTGGAGACTTTATATGCATCACATTAGAGTCAGGTGCTAGATGGTATCCATCAGCAGCACCCAGAGCAGGGCTGCTACAACTAGAGCATCAATAAATACTTCATGAGCAAATCAAACTACTGCATGAAACAGGTTCATTTTTCAGCACTGCAAAGAAGTTGAATTACAGAGATGTTTGATAACCTTCTGAAGTTTCACAGAACATGATGCCAAGACTTGAACCCAAACCCCACACAATTAACTAAACTTGGTGCTTGTGAACTCAATATGCACTACATTAATGCACACAAAATTAACCTCATGACTCTCAATAAACTTTGTGCCGTATCCCAAGTAAACATTCTGAGCCACCATTTTCCAAGAAAAGGTCTACAAATACTAGGTCCTCAACAAATAACCAGATAGGCAGAAATGTGTCAACTCTCTATGCAAGTAGACGAGTGTTCTCTCCCATCAGCATCTCCTGCTGTATATCTCTGGGACTTATTATTACCAGATATGCTCTTCCTATAGTAATTCTGGGTTGATTTGAGTCATATGAATAACAGGACAGAAACAATCACTCGTGATTTCATTGTCAATTGCCTACAGAACCTGTGAGGTGTTTCTGCTTACAAAGAAGAAAACAGGAATGCTTTTCAGATGCCCCTGACACTAGCTGGCCACCGATTTTCCCGAGACACCACCATGAGTACATTATCCTTTAGGGTTTGACTAATTGTATCTTTATCAACTAACTTTATCAGCTAACAGTGGTTCTTTAAAGCCATCGTTAGCCTTCTTCTTGAGCGTTCATCAGCCACACTTCAATGGAAGTGAAGTGACAGTAAGCAAAGCCTTTTAATGGTGATACAAAATTCCTGAAGCTATGGGTTGAACAATCAAGAGAGGTATAAAAATAAAAAATCAGCAAACAGCAGAATGTAAGTCATGAAGGTAGAAATTTTACAAAAGAATGGAAGGCAAGAAATACAGATGGTGTAAAGGAAGAATTCAGAAACTACCCTAATTTGAGCTCTATCATTCAACCTTGGAAATAAATCAATCTGAAAGCCTCAATTGTTCCATCTGGATAATGGGAGTGATACAGTATTACTTCCTCACAGATATTTCAATGTATCACATATATAACACCTTATGATACAATATATGATTATTTTTATCCATCATACATTCCAAGAATCAGTTCCATTTATGCATTTCACACTGTACACATTCACCCTACAAACCTTTTCAACAGCTTCAAATCGTACCCCCATGAACCACATCTACCTTTTTGGGTGGGTTGAGAAACATATTTTTAACCCAGGGAACTAACATACAATTCATAGTGAGCTATGTGTGCCCACAAGTTTGGAAAGCTACTGTGTGTTCTCAGGACTTGAATGCTGTAAACCGCTGTTTAAACAAGGAAGCCTCTTTTAAGTCCTCCTCAGCCTGCTGCCCTTGGATAAGGTACAAACTAAAACTGAAAGGGGATAGATGTTTTACATTTAAATGCATTTAACATCCATGTACATTAAACAGTTTCATGGACGATTGCACAAATACCTTTTGCAAACTGGGTTCACACAAGCACATATAACCATGTTGTCTAGAGAAATCAGGAACAGATTTAGATTTTTTTAAACAGCTACTTAGAGTTCCTGTCACTCAGAAGAAAATGTTAGGGCTGTTAAGTAAGTTGCTCCAATGTCAATGACAGCTGTCCAGAGCAGTGTGCACAAGAAATTAGCTTTAGCTTTCTCCTGGAGAATCTGAAGTCCCTCTCCTCCCACAAAGAAAACTGAATTTTGAAAGTCGTGCCTTGGGTATTTTATCAAACGGACAAACATACTATTCTTTTTAACATGTGTTATAGGGGCGGGGGTGGGGGGGTCAACCGTTGTTCACCAAATCGCTAATACAAATACTTGCACCTTCCCCAGAGCCCTCTAGTTAAAACAAGTCTTTGTGATTCCTAAGGAATACACTTATTGTCATCCTAAAGATATCTGTGACCATCATGGATAAAACTGCCCAAGCATCAAGTTTTTGAAACGGGACCAGGCAGGAGACAGGAATAGGAGTCTATGGAAGGACCAAAATGAGTCATATACCAACAAATAGAGCGCTTTCTGTTGAAATTAAATGCTTAGTTAAACAGGAGTCAACACAACGACTGTAACCTGAGAAGCAGACAGAAATCAAGTCTAAGTGAAGTCCCCACTCCCTCAGTGGGTAGTTCCCACTTGGGTCGCCAGGGTGGGTGGTCTCAGGGCCCAGCAGCTGGGCGGTGCCCTAACACACTGCGTCTCCCACAGCCGCCTCGGGTGGGCAAAGCCTGGCAGCAACACGTGGGGCGCGGCTACTCCACCGCCCAGGAACTCACTCCAGCGGGAGTTCTGAATACAGGCTGGCCCGGGCCTGAGAAGCTTCCCAGCCTTGAACTTGGCGGCTCCGGATGTTTGCATCCCTCCGGGGCGCGCAGGGGTGGGGGGGGGGGCGCACTCTCAACCTGCTTGCTGCTCTCAGCATTTCGCCCGCCACGGAGCTCAGCAGCCACTACTCCGACCCCCGCAGGACAGCCCCCGGGTGGCACTCCGGGTCGCCTGCACCCAGCGCCTCCTTTTGTGCCCCCACCTCCGACTGTCCTCCTTCCACTCACCTGGGCTGCACGCGTCCCTGCCGCCAGAGGCAGCCCGCTGCCCCATCCCACGAACACTGCGGCGCCCCTCGCGTGTGCAATGCGGAGCGCCGCCCGCGCGCAGCCCGAGCAGGGAGCGCAGCAGCAGAAGGAGTGCACGAGCGCCGCGGGAGGGACGCGCGGGGCGGCGGGGGGCGCGCGCCACTCCCACTCGCGCCCGACCTCGAGGGTCTCGAGGCCAATCAGCGCGTGCAGGAGGAGCCGAGCCCTCCACGGGACTCGTTCATTGGCCTGGCGCGCACCGCCCAACTAGCGGGGATCAGACCCAGCATCCAAGTCTGCAAACTCCCACAGAAAACTGTGGTGGAAAACGGGGAACTAGGGACCTGTCCGGGAAGCGGGTTCTCGTGGAGTGTCCATGGCTATCTGTTTGTTCAGGTTGCAGGTCTCTTCCTGTGAGCGACACCCCTGCCTGAGCTGCGCAGCTCATGGTGGCCAGCAGCCACGTGTCCTCGCAAGCACTGCTGAGCAACAACGCCCAGGCCAATCTCACTCCTAGCCTTCTCCGTGTGGAAACTCCTACTGATCTAAGAGTTGGAGCTCCAAACCCAAAGGCACTTGACTTTTGCAGTGGGCTGGAGGATGGAAAGCAGTAAGAAGGATTTGAGGGGAAAACCCGAGCAAAATTCTATCATGTCAAACCCTTTAAGTAACAACCACCACCACCACCACCACAACAACAACAACAACAACAAAACACACACACACACACACACACACACACACACACACCCTGCCAATTCTCTCTCCTTGTCACCTGAGACTCTTTTCCTCCTGGGCCTTTAATCCCAGCACTTGGGTGGTAGAGATGGGCGGGTCTCTTTGAGATTGAGGCCAGTCTGGTCTACAGAGCCAGTTCCAGGACAGGCTCCAATGCTACACAGAGAAACCCTGTCCAAAAATAAATACATGCATACATAAAATTAAAATTAAAAACAAGAAGCCCCACTGACAGCCCCAGTCCATCTTGGGTCTTTGTAAGTCCTCTTGGGCTCTGTTTCAGGCACTATTTTAAGCCTCCTCTGAATCCCCCTGCCCCTGTCCTTCCCAATATCATACTGTCTTCCAAAGTAAAAACACGCTTTTCCTTTAACGTATCTTGATCTCAGCCTCAACAGCACCATTTGTAAGAACCTAAAGATGTTTTTGATCAACAACTTCAGGGCCTCAGCATTTTTCTCAATTTCTACTCATGTACAAACTCTCGCAAACTTATACAGGCTTGGAATTCAAGTCCACAAAAAACGAGAACACTATATATCCTTTTGGCAAATAGGAGATGCTGCTGTCTTGGGCTTCTCACAGCTCAGCATTTGGAATTAGCATTTTATGAACTAATCAAAGTGGTTCTGCCCTTTGCCCTTAGTATATGGAGAGGTTATACCATCAGGGTAGATTCATTATTAATGAGAGTGTCAGAATGTTGACAATTCCCCGGGGAAAAACTGGTTTTGACAGTTCACTACTATAAGTCTAGTTCATCTGATTGAAAAATCAAAATCACGGCTGGGGCTTTAATTCATAATAGAACACTTCCCTGGCATACAAGAAGCCCTAATTTAATGTCTACCACCACAAAAATCAATCAATTTATTAGTTTAGTATATAGTATATATTAGGTAAGACTTTAATGTTTGGATTCTAAACAACGTTCAGACTGGACATGGTGATCCGTGCTTCTAACCCTGCCAGTGACAAAACAGAGACAGGAGGGTCATTATGAATTCAAAGCCAACTTGGTAAACTTGGAAAATTCTAAACCAGCCAGGCTGCGTGAGAAACACTGTCTCAAACATAAAACAAGAAGAGGAGGAAGAAAAGTAGTTACCACTGTTGTTCAGTTACAGCAGTTCAGAAGGCTAGAGAGCAGAGAACTGGAACCCACAGGAACAAATAAAGGACATGCATATAAAATGTCCCATTATCCTTAAGCATTGGGATAATGAATAATTTATGTCTTACCCTTCGTATTTTATTGCACTTTCTAGTAAACATATTTTAGAAAAAACTTAACTTTAGAAAAAAGTTAATGTCAACTACCAACGCACATCACTCCTCACACATCAAAGAAGCTAAAAATGCTAAAGTCTTTTGTTCCACCCTTCCTTCCCCATTATCCCATTCATAGAACAGCTCTAGAATTGGTCCCTTCCTGATCCCTCAACTGCCACTCACATCCTCTTCGTGTCTGATCAGAACTTTATAATGGCAGCCTTTAAACCATTCTCTCAAGCAGGCCACCACACCATCTCTTTCTGACTTTCTCTAACTGCCATACTTTGCCGGTGAGAGCCAGCCTCTTATGCTGATCTCCTCCTGCCCCAAGGGAGTGGACAGACACCTATGAGTAAGACATTACAGCAACACAGCACACTCAGTACCCTTCCTCCCTGACAGCAAGTTCCTACTACTACTTCAAGATTCATTTCAGATGTCACCTTCTTCATCAAAACTACAAGAATTAGCACACCCTCCTCACCATGCTTCGAGCACAAGCACTTTATTTAGACAATGATTATTAATCCAGATCCTGCTATGTGCCAGGCACAATGAAGGAAGCATAAATCCAGTTCATTTTCCTGGAGCACACCACGAGAGAGGCAGACTTTAAATCAAATAGCCACACAAGCAAATAATCTCAAACTGAGATTAGTATGATGAAATCACTACATCTACATAAAGAAGCAGGTTTTGCTCTGAACATGTGTGTATCACAGTTCTTAGCAAGCTGTGTTACAGTCTACTTCCTTATCCATCTATTGGCACTTTTGTCTTCCATCATATGCTTTGTGTACACACCCATGTGGATCATAGGACCTTGTTCATAGTAGGTACTCAGTGAAAACACTAAAATAAATGAGAGAATAAATACAATTTTGAATACACACCTCAGATGCAGTGTACCTCATGTGTTAACATATTATTGCCCAAAACCTAATTGATCATAGTTCCATGTTGTGAATATTATCATCAAAGCCTTGCCTTGTGTTTCTATACTCTCAGTATTTCCTGCATAAACTCTCTGATATAATTATACTTGATTCCTATTTAGGCTAATTTATTATTTATAAAAAGTCTAAAGAAATTTGTTCTTTTCCTTTTTCTTAAGTTTTCTTAAATCAAATTTTACTTTCAACATAAAAATCTGAGGCTTGTAATTTGAAAATTGAAGAACAAATAAAAAGCACAATACAAAACAAAACATCAGTTGGATTTTGTTCAATCCATTTTTTTTCCACTTACAAACAACACCCCATTAAAAGAATGAAATGGCAAATATAGGTTGGGAAAAAATCCTTTCAAATTATCCCTGACATTGAGTTGGTAACCAATATGCAAGGAGCTCTAAAAATTCAACAATAAGAAATCAAGCAAGCAAAGATAGTGAATGAACCAAAGATATACAGATGCTAAGTGGCACATCAAAGGATGCTCGATAGAAATAGTGAAATGCCAATTAAAACTATGTGAGAAACTCTACACACTTATTTGTATAACTGTAAGAAAGATGGAAAACCCCAACAATGCCTGGTGCTGATGAATGACATTGACATGCTTCCAGTATGACTGGAAAATGCTCTGGCCACTTTTGGCTCTCCACAAACTGACAGTCAGGCCCCATTATTGAAGACAGAACTCATGGAGCACAAAGAAGCCTACCTGGAGCCATCACCACTACAGATTAATATCCATGGTACTGGAAAGTACTCTGCATTATACCAAAGGAGAAAGGAAAACACCAACCCAGCTGCAAAGCCTTTGATATAGAAGAGTGACCTGACTATTAAGATTTCCTGGTCCAACAATGGCACAAAACTTGTGGGTGTAACAGAGATCCACAGCCAGACAATATGCAGAGAGTGAGACATCTTGGAACACAGAGCCCTAAAGGGTAAGTTTTCATCAAATTCCTCCACTTACGGATCAGGGAATGCTGCCAGGGAGGTGGGGGGGGGGGCGGCAGAAAGAGCACAGAGCCAGAGAGGTTGGAAAACACTAAGGAATCAAGACCTTCTTGTAGCAAGCTTTCATGTCACGACTGCCAGCCTGCAAATAAAGACATGGAGACTTATTATGAATTATAAAAGTTGGGCCTTAGCTTAGACTTGTTCCTAACTGGTTCTTGTAACTTAAATTAATCCCTATTTTTAAATCTGCATTCTTCCATGTGGCTCATTACCTCATCTCCGTATTGCCCACTCTGGTTCCTCTGCATCTGGCTGATGATTACACCTTTCTTATTCCCAGAGTTTTCTCTCTGCCCAGAAGTCCCGCCTATACTCTCTGCATAGCTATTGGCCATTCAGCTTCATTACATGAATCACAGCAATACATTTTCATACAGTGTACAACACATTTGAGACATAACAGGGCTAACATGCAAACTTGGTGTGGTGATTGAATGAAAATGGTCCCCATAGGTTCATAGAGAACGGTAATATTAGGAGGTGTGACATTATTGGAGGAAGTGTGTCACTGGGGGTGGGCTTTGAGGTTTTGGAAGCTCAATCCAGACCCATTGTCAGTCTCTCTTCCCTGCTGTCTGCTGAACCAGGTGTAGAACTCTTAGCTACTTTTCCAGTACTGTGTCTTCTGTGCACTACCATGCTTTCTGCCATGACCATATTGGAGTGACCCTCTGAACCTGTAAGTCAGCCACAATTAAATATTTTCCTTTACAAGAGTTGTTGTGAACTGGTTGGTGGTGACATGTGCCCTTAATCTGAGCACTTGGGAGGCAGAGGGAGACAGATCTCTTTGAGTTTGAGGCCAGCATCATCAACAAAGAGAGGTCCAGGTCTACCAAGGATGTTACACAGAGAAACTTTGCCATGGTGTCGCTTCACTGCACCAAGATACACAGAGACTGTGGCAGCATATAAGTAGCCTACATGGGTCTGATCAGATGGGGTCCAGAAGTGAAGGAAATGGACAAATGCCCCCCATCTCTAACCTAGAATCTATCTCCAACTGAGAGTCACTTGAAATAATTTTTTTTTCTTCCAAGGGAATCTCACTGGGGAAACAAATCACTCTTAAAGGCAGTCTCCATGCCCAGGAGTAGATAGCTAACAAAACAAACTCACTGGCATAATGTTGAGTCAAGGTGTTT